GCCCCTCTCCATCCCTCCCCGCGGCAGCCGCCGCCGCCGCCGCCGCCGCCTGGCTCCCCCTCCCCGGCTCTGCTCTGCTCGCGGCCGGGGAGGGGGTGGCCCGGGGATTGGCTGCGCCCGGCGCCTCCGCCCCGCCCGGGATCCGCCGCCGCGCTCCCCGCGCAGCTCGCCGCGCTCCCTCGGGGGCCTGGCTGTCTGCGGGCCTCGCGCCGCCCCCTCCGCCTGCTGTGCCCCAAGACCCACGTGGGGCTCCTCGCGGGGGCCGGTGGCGCCCCCCGAGAGCGCCCACCTGGGTTCTCAGGAGCCGGGTTAAGAGACCCGGGCCCACCCTTCGGTTCCGGCGGATTGATTTCCAGGGTCTGCTCAGAGAGTAAGTGGGGTGGGGGTGAGAAGAAAGCCTGGATCAAGGGCCTTGGCCGCCAGATTCCGCAAACACTTGTTTTCTTCCTGGGGCAGCCTCTGGGACACAAACGGAAGCGTGACTGGATACAGCTTAGGGATGCTCTGCGTTTCCTGTGCACGGTTTGTCCATCCTCACAGATCTCAGTCTTTGCTTCGACGAACCTGTGCTCGGCGCTCGCTGGGAACTCGGGGTTGGGGATGGGGATGGGGATGGATGGTGCAGATCATCTAACTCCTGACCTGATAGGGGAAGGGGGAGCAGAATGAAGCTAACTGAGTGCCAACTAGAGTGAAATAAACATGTCAAGCCCCCAAAACTGGCTAGAAGACATAGTGTGAAATCCGATTTCAACTTTTCTGAGCCTTGCTTGGTCTTCTCTGACAAATAAGAGTGGACGTCATGAAGCAGTCAGGAGAGGGGAGGCTTGCTCTCTGGCTAGTAGAGAGGATCAGGTAGGTACCAAGGGCTTCCTGGGTAAGAGATGGAGAGAGAGAGAGAGAAAGAGAGAGAGAGAGAGGGAGATAGGTGGCAGGGGTCAAGTTACAGCAGGCAAAAAGTAGAGTTCAGAAAAGTCACACCAGTCAGGGCAAGGAGACTCTTGTCTAAGCAGCACCCAGAAAATGCCAAGTGTGAGAGAACAGACCTGGTTAGCACCAAAGACAAAAATCTCCCCACCTGCTTTTCTGTCCCTCCTGAGGTTAAACAGGGAGTAGGGCAGTGGGCTAGGGGGTCTCTGGTGTGGGTGTGTAACAGGGAGAGGGACTAGGTCTTAGGGATGCAACATTTCACCTTTAGATGATGAGTGGAGAGCTAAACTGTAGGGTGATAGCCACTACATTTCGGGGAATTCCAATTGAAATATGTACGATGGTGCCAGTAATCTCATGCAGATCTGGCAGATGGGATGATGGAGAGAGAACTGATGTTTGGTCTCTGTGCATGAAGAAATTAGCCAACTCTCGTACATCCATAAAACCATGAGAGAGACGACAGAATAGTCAGCTCTAGGTCTGCTTCCATCTTAATTGTCCAGTATAATTTGTGGCAGGATCTCAATCTTTCTTTTGACAGTGATGGTAAAATGACAGTGATGGCAATGATGGTAAAAAGAAAAGAAGAAAACAACTCCCCATGACTATAGCAGTTCCACCCAAACTCCTAAGGTTTGAGCAGACAAAACACTGCCAGGGGAGTTTCCAGGTCAGGAGTGATGCGCCAAGTGGCCAGCTCTGTTCATGCCTTCCCACCTGAAGTTACTCTCCCTTTGGGGTGCTGCTCTCTGATTCCACTCTTCCCACTACTCCTCTGATCCAAACATGGATATAAACTCCTCCCTTACACAGTCTTAGCAAGGCTGTATAAGGCTGGATTTATCCAAGTGATTTAAATCAAGGTCAACAAAAGGGATTTCAGGTCTTGAAGCTTCAGTCCCATCCCACATCCTGTTTTTGTTTGTTTGTTTGTTTGTTTGTTTGTTTTGCACCAGAGAAAAGTAGACCCAGTTTCCTTCCTGCTTCTTGTAGGATCCTCTTACTTCTCACCATTTGGAGGCATTTTCCCAATCTCTTTACCACCTTCTGAGCCAAGGTCAGTGATTCCAGGCCGGGTGTGAACCAGAACAACCTTTCCAGAGGACAATTTGACAGTACTGATGAAAAAAACCTTTACAATATGCATTGATGCTGTTGTTGTTGTTGCTACATTGTGACACAGCTGTTCCATTTATAGAAATATTCCAAGGAAATAAAAATAGAATGTGCACAAAGATTTAATCTGCAGCACCCATCAGAGCACTATTTATGTAAACATGAAAGATTGTACATAAGCCCCATGTTCAAACCTGGGGGTTAATTAAATAAATTATGGCGTATGTCTATAATAGAATACTAGGGAGTCATTAATATTGTGTTATAACCGTATTTGTTGACAGAAAATTATAATATAGTGTGACATTATAAAAAAATCAGGCTATAAGAATTATAGGACATCGATTTTTATTTCAAAATTCTTCTCCTGCCTTTTGTGGGGCTTTCCATCCCAAGTAATTTATGGGTTTCCCTGGGGAAAGCTTATGTTTTACAAATGTCTCATCCCACTCATTGGTCATAGTTTGGCCCTCGCTGGAAATCACAACATTAACCATCCATTTCCAACGTCTAGAAATATAAGACTTGGGCACTTTCTAACTTGCCCCCTTTGCAGCACACCCCCAAGGTGAAATTATACTTCCATCCTCTCTGTGGTTGATGTTTCAGGCTCCTAAACTCCTATGGATAGCTCTTGGACCGAAGGAAGAAACCAAGTTCAGAGATAGAACTGTCTAAAACAGGGACTCCTATCTCAGGACCCGCGGACAGAACCCAGAGTCTATAACATTGGAGGGTAAACTTACACCTTTAAGTTCACCAACTTATAACTGAAATTCCCCCATGCACTTCAGTTATGTGTGTAGGCAGCAAACCACGGCAGTTTTAGAGATATTGTACATACTGTCTTTATTATTCATAAAAATTACAGACATTTCTGTTCTACAACAATCATTGCAGGTTTTTTACATCTTTTGTGTTCATCACTACTTTGAAATTATGGCAGTATTGGACTTGCCTATACATTTTCTTATGTAATGCTTTTATGAAGAAGCAGAGAGATGACTGTATCAGAGTTTTGTAACAGCTGTATTTGATATAATTAGTTCCTTTTATAATCCTATGCATTTGGTATTATGAGGGGTCCAGGGCACAGAAAGCTTAAGAACCCCTGGCCTCTAAATACATGTGCAGGAGGGGTGGTTCTCTAATGCTGCAGGAGCTAGAGAATTTTAATAGTACCAACTTAAATGACCAAGCAGGACACTTAACATTCCATTTTGAAACCTGAGTCCCCAAGAACAAAGATACATCCCTTTTATCTGCAAGACTGAAAGAGCCACACTAAAGTTTCACGCCTGCCCCCAGCAAATGGAGAGGCAGCTCTAAAACACAACAGTTTAATAAAGTATTTCTTCTGGCTTAATGGGAGACGCTAGATCACAGGTAAGGGCCTATGAAAAGATCCAACTGAGAGGGGGAGGTTCAAAGCTCCAGAGAGAGGAAGATTAATCAGCAAACTGAGGGTAAATTCCTAAGGCAGCCGCCAGGGGTGGGTGCAAAGCTCAGTGAGGAGGATTAAGCTCACATACAGGCAGCCAGGTCTTGTATTCTAGCAGAAAGAAGGATGGAACAGATGCCAGAGGGTTGCACATTTGGTGTCGGGAAGATGAGGGATTCCTGTCTGATGGCGTCTGTTTTCTCTGAGAAGTAGGAGGCGAGATTCTCTACTAAGAGTCTGGGAATGGGGGAGATAGAGAATAAAATAATAAAAAGTAATACGCCAGTATCACTTTACAGCTGACAAAGAGTTTTCAGTCTCTTCTGACAGCAACCCAACGAGGAAGGCATTACCTTTGCCACTGCAATTGAGAAAACTCGGGTTAGAGGCCGATTACATTTCTGTTCCCCAAAATTACCCAGCTGGAAAGAGGGCGAGAGCTTCAACTCAGCTCCTCAGATGGAAAATTCATCCTGGGGACGGAGCAAAGAGCTCTACTTAGATATTTGTTCATTTGGTTTTTTTTAAATATTAGATTTACTGGGTTCAGGATATTTTATTTGGTCTGCATTCTTTTACTTTTGTCTTTATTTAAGGTGGGACCATAAGTTGAAGAGAGGGATGAATCTATCTACATTCCTAAATGTTGCAAATGGAAAAGCAAGGATCTTCCTTAGGGGGTGGCTTCCAGCCCTGCTACAGGTCTGGGGTGCTCTCATAAAGTATTGACAACAAGAGTGTCTCAGTTCCTACTTGTCGAAGTCTATGCCTTGTATCAAAATCTCTGTGTCTCGGGGCCACATGGGAGGTGACTCAGGCTGCTCCCAAGTTTAGTCAGCTTTGGGGCAGCTCTTCGCGTCTCACAGGAAGCATTATGTGCTTAAGGAACCGGAAGTGGGTAAGCTGATACTGGAGAACCTCAAGAAAAGGGCTGGAATAGATTTTGGCAGAGGAATACCTGCAATGGCGCAGGGGACTGGCTGGAAATCAGGAGTCTGTATTCTTTTATTTATTTATTTATTTTTATTTATTTATTTTTTTAAAGATTTTTATTGGGGAATTGGGGGATGGGAACAGCACTGGAGAATTGGGGGAAGGGGAGCAGACAAGTTGCTGTCATTTTGTTCTGCAGTCTGGCTGTGGAGGACGTTGCTTCACTGGCCCAAGTTGGCACCATCATTGTGCTCTTCCCAGTGTATTCTTTTAAATGGGAGTAATTTCCTTAATCGTCAGTGAACAAGAAGACAAAGAATGGGGTTTGGGGGTTAGGTTGCTGGCACATGGCGGCACACTCAGAGCTAAGTCATGGATGGGTGGTGGTGTTGGTAGTGTGTAAATTGTTTTTCCACAGCGTAGGAAGTGCCATAGAATGTGCTGGTGGTCTGAGGAGTTCTCTTCCCCATACCACCCCACCTTCAGCTGGACTCCCCGTGTAATTAATAGACGATGTTCCCGCCCATTCTGTTGAGGTGGAGGCTTACCTGGGCAGAGCAAGTTTGCTGAGGGGAGGAAGGACATCTCAGGGCAGCTAGTTATATAGGAAGACACGTTCCATGGCAGACGTTCTCTGGTTCCAGGGTTGGTGGTGGGGACAAAAAGGCCTCCTGTGACCTGTGTTTGATCTGTTGGACACTGTGGAAGATAAAACCTCTTAAACCAGCAGAAGTCATTGGTCGTATGACTTTTAGATGAAGTTTGAAACCTTTGCAAAATACTAAGGCTCTAAGGTAAGCTCATTCTAATGTGTAGTGAAATAAGGAAGCTTGGCAGGATGGCAATGGTGGTGACCCCCCTGTTGGTGCAGGCCCCAGAGATATACCTCCACGCATGAGGGCAAAGCCTCCTGCTGACGGGCAGGTCAGCATCATTGAATCCACATTTTGCAGGATCCTGTGGCCCCATTCAGCACAGGAGAAGGCCCAGATGTTTCCCTCGTGATTCTAATAGTCTTTTGTCTACATTATCAAGGGAATGCATTTGCCCCATGTTTTCTTTGACAAGCAGGTGTGTTGGAAAGCCGGGAAGAGAATCACTTCAGATTTGGGGGTTCCATCCGAACCTTCTGATGAGAAAGGCCAGGCCAGGGGTTCTGGGCTAATGGGATTCCACATCCTTCTCAGAGAAGGGGGGGGTTGGGTCAAGGGGGCCTGGAACAATGCCTGTCCATCAGACCCAAAAGCTTACTCAGGGCCTCGGGGTGTCACCATCATGTCCAGGTCACAGGCAGCAGCAGACCAGGCAGGATGCCAGCCCCAAGAAAGCAGGCCTGGGAAACCATGAGTCAGAGGCCAGGTAAGCAATCAAAGTGGAGTTCATCAATCCCAGAGAGTGGATCAGATGGGATCTTCAGAGGTCAAGCGAGCACTCAGCATTCACAAATCCCAGAGCCACTGATGGAGAAGGGGAGACTCAAGTAGGTAACTCCAGGCAGTTGCTTCTTCCAGCCTCAGTGACCCTACCTGCCAGTATTATACTCCTACCTCCAGGAGGGCCAGTGAGAACCTGGAATTGGAAGGCTTCTTCCTGAGCATCTCAGGTAGGTATCTGGCTAGTATTTATGAACTCAGGGAAGAGGAGCAGCTGATGTCACATCATGCCCCTGGAGCTTTCTTACTGGCCCTACTGGGACCCCTTTGCCCCACCTTTATGCCAAACTCCTCCAGGAGAGATACCTGCCTTGTGCTTACAAGGTGCTGTCACTCAATCACAGCCTACTGGCTGTTGCTCCCTTTTACTACCTGCCAGACTTCTCCATCACCAGGTGACAGTCCAGCTCTCAGGTTCCGGAATATACCCACCTTCTGGGTCCCCCATCCCTCTGCCTTCCCTAGCTTATGGATATCCTACAACCGCAGCTTGGATTCCTCTTGCCAGGCTTTCCTGGATGAGGATCTGTTTTTGCTACCAAGTCTAACTTCTTGAAAACGTTTCTCCTTTCCTGCAATTAGTCCTGATCCTAATAGTGTTTAATACAGAATCAAACAGTATTACAGTCTCCAGGTCTCAGCCCTTCCTAGTCTGCCATCTTGAAGCAAGTTGACCAAGAACAGAGAAGGCACCGGAGGCATTTTCCTGACAATGAAAGAGCAGGGGACATACAGGACACTAAGTACAGATCACTGAGTGTTAGAACTGAAGGAAAACTTACATATCAAGTCTATTACTATACTTTCACAGAAAAGGAACATTCGTCTCAAAATTTTACAGCTACATAACTATTAAGTGGCTGAACTGCAACCAAAATTCAGGTCTTCTAACTCATTTCTAGCGTTCTTCTCCCTATCCTATGATGCTGCCCTAAATTTATGTTGGATTGTTTTTCTGATTTTTATTGTAATGCTAAATTCTGTTGAAACATGCTCAGTCCCCACACTCCTTTTGCTCATATAGATGGGTCAGCTTCTTTTGGATAAAATGAAGGAAAAAGAATGTTCTAAGAAGGTAGATTTCATGTTAAGTGTTTTTACCACAATAAAATTAAAAAGAACATTGTTCTAACTTAGGAGTTCCAGAAATAACGATTCTCTTGTTCTTTGTGTTTAAGAATGGGTGTGTGAACCTCGTGTATGTGTTCAGGTCATTGTTTGGTTACATTTTTTTCACGGTGATAAGCTAACAGGGGACAAAGCTTTTACTCTCCTGGGTGGAGGTGAGTCCATTTGAGGGCTGTTCACTCGCTGAGTCAATCATGATTGTCCTGCGAGTGGGCAGTGGACCCACCCAGGTGGGAAAGGTCAAAAGAGCCTGAAAACTTTGAACTCCAAGTGTTGTGTATGTGTTCCTCTCAAGTAATCATGTGCCCATTTTAGAAAAAATTTTTAAATGGAGATAAGCAAGTATTTAGATACATACAATGAGGTGGCTAGAGTTAGGAGAGTTGAATGTTATTCCTGCTGGTGGCAAATTGTGTTGAGGGAGGGGGTGCAAGCAATTCCTCCATTCTAAGGTGGGAGCTGGAATTTGCCACTTCATCTTTTAAAATATCGGTTACATGTTGAAATGATAATATTTTGGACATGATGGGTTAAAGTCTGTTATTAAAATAACAGCACCTGTTTCTTTTTTAGTGTCTTTTAAAATTACCTATGTGGTTCACATCATATTTCTAAATCTCTTAAGCTTTACCAAATACAGGGCCTCCCTTGATCTAATATGAGATTTCAATTCATATTCTGCAACTCAGTTGCACTAAGCGAACGTCCAAGGCCCTGGCTGTGTGGCAGGCACTGTGCCGGGCCCTCCGTGCTATGCTGCTACTGAGCACACAGTAGGCACTTTGCTGGAACTGGGTAGGTTTCCTTGGTGGCAGAAATGTCTTCTGGTAGCATCTCACTCTTGGGTACAGTCTCCAGCATGTTGAGAAGTCTTAAGTAGGAAGACATTCGCTATTCTGGGTGAATCCCCTTCCTTCTTTCTGAGACTGGGTGTCCACTTGCCGCATTCATTGCATCACTGGATGGCAGGTAAATACCAACCAACCGAATGGCAGGAAGGGTGGTTTAAAGGAAGCGTGAGCAAACTGAGGGTTTGCTCAAGAGCACCCACTTCCTGTGTGAGGTCAGCCTGGTGAGTTTTTTCATAGTAAGCCCACCTTATCAAAGGGAGCAGAGCTGGTGGGAGCCACTAGAGAAACATAAGCCCTTCACATCTCAAGCAGCTTGGTTATCTATGCATGGTGAACCCCACACTCCCTGAAATGTTTACTTCCCCTAGTGACAGCTATTTTCAGTACAAACACTTGAGCTTCTAGCCAGGCCCTATCTGATTTTGACATCCCCTGGGTTCGGGCAGAAGGAAGACAAAAGGCAGCAGATGCTCCACTAGCGGCTGCCTCAGTGCCAGCATCCTGCCTATGCTGCTGTTGGTGCCCTGGGTCTTTTTTCCTGCCTGCTCCCTCGGCTGCTGACTCTCTGCCATCTGACCATCTGCCTGCTCTGCACCCCCGCGGCCACCACACATTGCTGCCATGCCGACTCTTTCGGCGCCTTTGGGTGCCCATCTGGCTCAGACCTTAGGAGGCATGGCCCCCCCGCCTGCTACTTACTGCTCCTCTGACCCTTGCTTCCTGGATGCCCTATGCAGGCTCTGCTCACTGCTGCGTGGACCTGGTGGGACAATAAAAATGAGGAGAGAAGGCCACCCAGCTACTGTAATTCGCGTAGCCACACCAAGCAAGCATTCGTGGGTGGGTGAAACTTTTTTCCTAATCTTTACACTTACCTGCTAAAATATCTACTTAAGTCCTTTTTCCTCTAGATGAAGAGTTTCTTAAAGGCAAGAGCTGGGTTTACTTATCTTCATATCCGGAGTGCCTGGAAATTATGTTTTTGGTAAGTATTGGTTGAACTGAGGTTGGGAAGAGAAAAGTAATGTTCTGATGTCAGCCTACTGGGCTGGGCCTGGAAGGAAGGAGGGAAAAGGGGGCATCTGTGGTTGTTAGTCTGTCCCTTGTGTAGGAGAGTGGCCCCTGGGGCAACAAGGATCCCTGGGTCTTGCTGGGTGCTTCATTCTCCCTCACCCCCCTTCCCATCTAACCCATCCATTGTGTCTGCAGTCCCATGGGTGACAGTCTCTTGTCCTGAGAAGCAAATGCAAGTGGGACTAGGAGGGGAGTAAATTTGGGAGAAAGTGGGAAAGCTACAGAGCATGTACACCCCGTCCTCAGTGCAAAAGAAAACACTTGGATATAAGGCAAAAGAGATGATGGCTCTGTCACTTTTCTTTTCCTTGTTTAAAATGATAAAAGTAATACACGTTTATGGAGAAAAAGGCAACAGTTATAAAAGCTTTCTACCTTCCCCCAATTCTATATCCTAACACCAACCACTGTTAATCATTCTTGGAAAAACCTTCTGGAAAAAGTTCTATGATACAAAACATCTTTATCTCTATCTCTGTTTGTTTTTGCCTCTATCTCTATCGCTCTCTCTACACACAGGCAGATGGACAGATACAGAGAGACAGACGGATAGAATTTGATGGTGCCACGTGATGGAAAAAGAAAATGGCGGCCCAAGGACTTAAAGTGGGGGATGGAGTTGGAGGCTGACCTGAAGAGGTTGTTGATGTACAGGTAGGGCTCCTGAAGGGGAGAAGTTCATGGTCTGCAAGGATGTAAAGGGGGGGGTCTTCAAATAAAATATCTGCGTTGTACAACAATTTTGGTTTCGGAAGTGAAAAATGCAACATCTAGGTAGCCTCAGTTTCCTTAACTGAAAAATGGGATAATAATTTACATTCCTGACAGGTTCATTCTGATGGCTAAAGGGGGGTTATCTATTTAAAGTGTTTACTATTATACCTAGCGTCACGTACTAAGCTTTATCTAAGTGTGTATGATTATTATTGTTGTGTGGTGGTGGTAGTGGCCTTTCTTTGATGCTGTTAAGAGTGCCTAGCATAGCCCCCGGCGCATAATTGACCCTCTGCCCACCTGCAACCCACGTATGGCAAGAACTTAGCGATAACATCCCTCTTTTCATTTCAGAATTCATTTTTTGCTACTGCCTTGTTCTTTTCTTTTTTTTCTTTCCTTGACTTCTTACTTTAGGTTGTGTGTCCTTGAAGAAAACTTTCTGATATGTGGTGGACAGAAACCTTTGAAGGTGTGTAGAGACGTTTAAGGTAGCAAGGTTCCTGCCCATTTTCTTATCTCTTCTCTCATGCCTGGGCTCAAGCTGTTGGAAACGATTAGGTGGGAACACCTTCGTACTTACTACCTTTTACACATACTACCTGAGGAGATCAATTAGAATTGCTTACTTGAACACCTAATAATTATTAGGGCTACTCCTGCTCATCATGTGTATTTTAACAGCATTGACCTGGCAGCTCCACTGGCGACATACTGACCTAGTGAACCTGACCTTCTTGGGCACCCGGTATGTTTCTCCTTCTAGTCAGAATGGCTGGCTGAAAACTCTTAGTTTTCATATTCTGCATCCCAAATGCTCTTAGTTGTCAGTAAAACTTAGCCTGCCTACGCACTCGTCTATTCTTGATATATAAATAGGTTCAGCTGCCTAACAATTATACTATATTCTGCACAGGCACATTCCTTAATGAGACATTTAGACTGTGGATGGCTTTTCCTCTTGTGACGCTATCTGGAAACCATCTTCCTTTTTTCTCCATGTGGGTGTACTTTGAAGGATTGGCAATGAGACTTTTGGTTTGTAAAGACCAAGACACAATTTCCAACATGCACAGGAAATCCAGTATCAGATTTCTAGCAGGTTCTCACAGGGACAGGCCCAGGACCAGCTTATACCTGTCAGAGAAGGTCTGCACGGCATGCTTTTATAGCAGACACGGCCACACAGGCTGTGGCTCTGAGAAACACCTGTGAGAAAGACAACAAGACACCAGAGAAAAGAACGACCGGTGGAGTCTGAGATGAAGATGTAGTATTAGGCATAATTAAGTATTGGGTTGTCAGAAAAGCCATGACACAATTCTGCAACGAAAAACAGAGAAAAAAATACATCACGACTTTTCCGACAACCCAATATTTGATACGTTGAAGGAAGGAGTAGGCATTGCATACCCCAAGGCCCGTGAGAGGACCTGCTTGGCAACCCAGAAGGGGGCATATAGGGCATGGGGTGGGGGTGAGGTTGGGGGAACAGCCTCAGGTTAACCTGTCAGAATTTCCATTCTGAGCAGAACTGGGACTGGATAATAATACCAAGTATTATATAGCACGTTCAGATATGGAATTTCATTTATTCCTCCATTTAATGCAATAAGGTCGGTGGATTAAATATCAATCTTTTACACACAGAGAAAATGGAGAGAGTAAAGTCTGGACACTCAAACTCGTCTCTGCACCCTGAATTCACCCTGCTCCCTTGTTTTCAGAGCTGCTTCACTTGACACCAAGGCATAAGGGAGTGACAGCTCTGACATGAGAGCCCCCAAGACACCCAGTTCTAGCCTAGACCCTGTGGCTAAGTGGGTATGACTCTGTGCCCCTCTCTTAAGCTACCCTCCTGTGTTCTCAAGGTAAATGTCAGGGATGAGCCTGGGTGACCTCTAGAGCACAGCCCAGGTGCTCGTTGACAGTAGCCGATTTGGAGGGCTGGAAGTACTGAGCAGGGTGTGCACAAGGGGACTGGCTGGCTGCCTTCGATGGCAGAGAAGGCTGGCAGCCCCTGAGGGTGACATATTAGACTTACGGACCGAAAGGCCATATGACTCCATAGATTGTAGGTAGTGAGCGTGGAAGAAGCCAGGAGGCAATTTGTAAGTTTCCACGTTCAATGAAAAACGAAACAGAGAACCAAGGTCGGTCCCTTTCGCGTAGCCTGGGGCACAGAGCCCAAGGCTGAGGAATCCGGTCGGACCAGTGGGGGGCTCCACAGAGCGCAGTCTCGGAATCCCGTGAGAGCCGCTCCGTCGCCCAAAGACTCCTTGAGAGGTGGGTCACCGTGGGCACTGAAGAACCGTCGACGACGTGTCGCCCACGACCACGCACATCCTTCCTGGCCCCAAGTCGGCAGGCCGCCCTCCGCTCCGCTCCCCACCTCCATTCCCCGGCCCCTCCCGCAAATCTTAACTGATCTGCAGGCTGGGGAGTTGGTGATGCAAATTCCTAGAAGCCTGAAGAGGCTGCTGCCCAGGATTTGAAGTTAGGATCCCCAAGAACCCTTGAGGGTTGTGCTCACACACACCCCCAACCAGGTCACGGAAGGGCCTAGGGGGGGGGCGTGGACAGGGAAAACGCCCCACTTACCATCCCGGTCCACCCTGGAGCCCAGTTCCAGCCCAGTCCTTCCAATCCAGCCCGACAGGAGGGGATTTGGGGGCGCGGGGCTGGCGGCTGGGTGGGGAGGCAGAGGAACAGCTGGAGGTGGCGGGGACAGGTAACGGCAGGCCCGGAGAAGAGGGGGGGCTGGGCCGGGGCGGAGGCTCCAAGGAGCTCCTTCGGCCCCTCGGGGGCACCCGCGCGACCTCCTCGGGCTCAGCTCGGAGTGGGGGGCGGTGAGTCAGACCTCGGGCACCCGCCGGTC